GGGAAGGGAAGGGAAGGGAAGGGAAGGGAAGGGAAGGGAAGGGAAGGGAAGGGAAGGATCATATTTGCAGAGTTGGAAGATTGCAGCCTGATTTTAGAACTCACACCATTCTCTCCATTTCAGGGAGGCCTGAAAGCAGTGGTGTGGACAGATGCATTTCAGATGGTTGTCATGGTTGTGGGCTTCTTAACAGTTCTCATTCAAGGATCAGCTCAAGCTGGTGGATTTCACAAAGTATTAGAGCAATCAACAAATGGATCTCGACTAAATATATTTGAGTATGTCCATTGCTACTTTTTCATGTCTTATAAATATTCAGCCGCATGACCTAATCCCCTAAAAAAAAAAAATCTTTATTCACTCACTTCTCTCTGCCTCCAGCTTTGATGTAGATCCTCTCAGGCGGCACACTTTCTGGACAGTCTCAGTGGGAGGAACTTTTACATGGCTCGGGGTCTACGGAGTTAATCAGTCAACCATCCAGCGATGCATTTCTTGCAAAACAGAAAAGCATGCCAAGCTGTGAGTTATTAATAAAGAAACATTTCTATGGTTTATCTTATCCTTCTGGAAGAAAATCCGTTAAAATGTAACTTGGCTTTTTGACAGTTTCATGAATTGAGTCGGAAGAACATCACTTGAAATTATATAGGAGTGAGTTGTGTGAAACTTCATCTGAAAAAATAGGTCTCACACCACACATTGAGGCTTTGCAGAAAAACTCTCAATTTCAAAAGAAAATCCATCAAAAATCTATCCAATTCAACTTTCATAATCAGTCTAAAAATGTAATGTTCTAAAACAAAAAGCAAAAAAAAGCAAAAGGATAAAATGTAATGATTCTTGAAGGCTGAAGAATTTTATTTTAAAGCAAAACAGCCCCAAAACATTTTACCTCGAGTCTTTGGTGATGACCTTCCCAGATCTTAGCCTAGAGGTGGCCAATAGACCCTTGTGTTCTTTTCTAGAGCCTTGTACTTCAACTTGTTGGGTCTCTGGATCATTCTGGTGTGCGCTGTCTTCTCTGGCTTAATCATGTACTCCTACTTCAAAGACTGTGACCCTTGGACTTCTGGCATTATCTCAGCACCAGACCAGGTACGCGTTCCCCTGGGGCCTGTGGGAATGGCTGAAATGAGGGTGTTTCTAGCCATTGATGGGTAATGTGGGGTCTTTCTCTTTTTCATCTGGACCTATAGCCACTCTCCACACCCCAAAGACTAGATTGCTTTCCTCTCCTCTTGGGTGATATCACCACACAGTAGGCTCTAATATGAGGGAGAAAACATGTAAAAAGAAGTTGCCGCACCTTGCCATTGAAGACAAGGCCAGGAACTAGGGCAAGGCTGAGAGAGGAAGGTGGGGTTAACTAAAGGTTTGGTTGTCAGTGCTACCTTTCAACTCTTTTTCTATACATCTCAAGGTTGATTAATGATGCTTTCATCCCAAATTGAACAAAATGACCCTTATTTCTATAATGCTCATATCTTCTCATCATAGTTTAAACAACAACAACTTGATGTACTCCATTAACTATTCTCTTAAAAACTCCCTTTGTGGCCCTGGCTGGTGTGGCTCAGTTGGTTGGAGCACTGTCCCAGACACCAAAAAGTTCATGGGTTCGATTCCTGGACAGGGCACATGCCTGGGTGGTGGGTTTGGTCCCTAGTTGGGGTGTGGGAGGGAGACAACAAACGGATGTTTCTCTCTCTCTGACCCATTTTCCTCTCTCTAAAATCAACAAACATACCCTTAGGTGACAATTAATAAAATTATTAAAAAACAAAACAAAATGAGAAAACCAACTCCCTTTGTGGACAATATGATCAGGAGGAGCAGTCTTCCCTCTTTCCCTACATATTCAGCTGTCTTACTCTGTCTCATGGGAACTTCTCTCTCAAATCCAGCCACAGAGCAGAACCATAACATCTAGCTTCTCTAGGGGCCTGTTTTAAGCATTTGGTTTTAGGTTCCGACTGCTAACTTTAAGGGGAGACGAGCAAGAAAATAATATATTGCAAACAAAAGAAAAATTTTAAAACTTTCTGAACCTTCTAAAGTTCATCCAGCCCCTTTTCCATACTGACTGTCTCTTTTCTCCCCCTTCCCCTCCCCTAGAGCTGAACCTCAGGCCCATGGGATCGGATTGATCAGAGCCTCACTGGCTCGCATGTAACTACCTCAGTCCATGCAAACTCCTCTATTATTAATTTTGTCTTTTCTTTCACCTCCTTTTGCTAAAAAGCTACATTCCCACATTTCAGACAGTGCTGATGAGGCCACTCATCCTATCTTGTCTCCTTTTCAGCTGATGCCGTACTTTGTCATGGAGATATTTGCCACCATGCCTGGACTACCGGGACTTTTTGTGGCTTGTGCCTTCAGTGGAACTCTGAGGTTAGTGTCCTGACAACACTCTGTTGCGATGATAATGATGGTGACAAGGGCGATAAGGTGATGGTGGCAGTAATCACGAGCATTTCCTGACTACTTGCTGTGTGCCAGCTGCCCTGCTAAATGTTATTCATATTTGTTCATTAGTTGCCACACTATATATGAACTGAAACTTTACTCATATTATTGTCACTTTATAGATAGGAAGACTGAAATTTAGCAAGGTAGATAAAACTTACCCATGGTGACATAAACTGCAGGGACAGGATGTAAGCCTAGTCTGAGCCTACACTAGACCTCTCTGTTTATTTTCTCAGCCTTGTCTGATGCCACCTGCCCCCACGATTTCACATCACTGTTACTCTGGTGGCATTTATCATCAGCCGCAATATATTTCTGTAGATCTATCTTTTGCAATCCATTCTCCCCATATTTAATAGCACACTCAGGCAGGTAATAACTTCCACCCTCCACAGGTAGACATTATTCTAAATACAAAATTATGCATACATTTATTCTGACAAATATTTTAGAAGGTTTATATTATGCCAGGTGCAGCTGATGACAGTGGGGATGTAGGGGTGACATTGGTTTTCTTGCACAGAAACCAGACTGACATTGCTCTCATATAGAGTTTGCATTCTAATTGACATGAAACATGGACAATATATAAGTAAACAAAATAAATAAGAGATAGTTTGATAATGACAAACAATATAAAGAAAATAACAGAGTGATATCTGGAGAGGTGAGGCCTAGGGTTCTATTTTTAATGAGGTCTTTAGGGACCTCCTCTTTGAGTCTGTGACTTCTGTGTTGAGATCTAAAGCATCCAAAAAAGCCAGCTATCGAAAAGCACAGGAAGAAACCTTTATAGGCAGAGGGAAGAGCAAATCCCCAAGCCCCCAGAAGAGAAACTGTATGGAATATTTTCGGAACAAAGAGAAGAGTTAAAGCATAAGGAACTGGAAGGAGAGCAGATGGGGATGAGATTGAAGAGGGGAGCAGGCATCGGGTCATGGAAAGCCTTCGCGAAATGGTAAAGAGTGTGCATTTCAAATGAAATGGGGAGCATTAGAAGGTTTGCAGCAAGGGAGTGAGTGACCTCATACGATTAAGACTCAGTCTTCTGTGTGGGGAAGGGACTATAATAAAAGCATGAGTGGTGAAAGTGAGTGACCTGTTAGGAGGCATTTGTCATAATCCAGGCGAGAGATGAGAGTGACTTGGAGAAGGGTAGGGCCTACAGTGTAAGGAGGATGCACTGAAACAGGAAGATAGTGTCATTTCTTATTTGACTTCCATGGAGCTGCAGATGGCAGTCTTACAGGGAATATATGAGGCCTTGATTCTCAGGAAACTGAGAATGGTGTGTACTTACAGTTTCAATCCCCAGACGTGAGTCTTAGAAAGTTTGTACTTGCTATATCTGTCATTTAGGGATGGAGCTATTAAATTTTGCATGAGATGGACCTAAAACTATTCCAGCTGAAATGAATGGTACTATTTTTCTGCATTGTCAAGAAGAGAATGCACACCTTTGGTACAGCTATAGCAAGTGCTCAAGGGCGCATTGGAGGGTAACAAAATAGCTAATAATGAATATCAGTGGGGAACTTAAAATAGCTGACCAGGCTTTAGGCTTTGCCCATCAGCTTGTTTCTTTTCCAGAACTTTTGTTTGTGAATTTAAAATAGTTATCTATTCTACTAGCTGAAATATCCCTGGTCTCTAGAAGGAATTCATTAAGATTTCATGTTAGTCTGCAAAGAAAACCACAACTGTCAGGTCCTCTGTCACCTAAGGGAATTTCAGGGCCATAGAACCGAACTCTGATGGGAAAGTCAGAGCTTTTATGAGTTTAGGTCTTTGCCCCCTTCCCAGTCTTATCTTTCGTATTTTACCCCTTTACTAATTGCATGGTAGCCACTCTGGTGGCTCCAGGCTGTTGTCAACAAGCTTTCAGGAATTTAAATGTAATTTTCCTTTTGTTCTAGAACATCTTTCCCCGACTTGCGTGGGTGTTTTCAGTGCCTACCTAACCGTCACTTCCAGAGGAGAGGCTCTCCTGACTTCACACTGGTTCAGGCCTCTGAGGGACGCGCTCTCGTAGCACTTTGTTATTTTCCTGCGTAACCGTTTTTACAGTTATTGCCCATCACATAATTGGCTGTTAAACGTCCCTGTCACCAAATGAAGCGGGGGGGTCTTTGTCTTTCTCGTTCAACACTGTATGCCTAGTACCCAGATGAGTAAACAGGTGCCTGAATGCTATTAATGAATTAGTGAATTATTAATGAACGGCAAAGTGAACTGGCGCCTGGGCTAGGACAGTCGCTACTTCATGCTTCAAGCCCAACCCAAGCCGTCCCCCCCACGCCACACCCAGGCACACGCGCACACAACCTCTCCGTTACTCTCTGCTAGCCCATTTAGCATCCTGTGAAGATAAATTAGTGGGAGTTAAAACGTGAAAACCCAGCTTCCTCGGCGGACTTTGTGGAAGCGCCGAAAGTGCATTGAACAGAAGCAGCTTTGAAGAACAGAAGAGCAGACGGGCGGCGTGGTTCCCGCAGCTGTTCTCCCAGTGCCCGGCCTTGTCCACTCTCCCAGGGAGCCGGGCAGGCCGGCGGCGGGGCCTCGTCTAGCCCGGACTGTGTTCTCCCTTTTCTCTCCCTGTAGCACCGTGGCTGCCAGCATCAATGCCTTAGCAACGGTGACCTTTGAGGATTTCGTCAAGAGCTGTTTTCCCCATCTCTCCGACAAGCTGAGCACCTGGATCAGTAAAGGCTTATGTAGGTATAGCCAGTGGATCTCCATTCATGTCGTGAAATGCACATGTGGTACATGTCAAACCCCTGCACCTGCTCCAGGACACACAGGCACCAGGGCACGTGAGATGCCTGAGGAATCACGTACAGGTTCTTACACTTGCAAAGATGCCAGCAGGGCCCGGGAACGAATGACCAGCTAGCTTACCTTTCGCCTCCCCTACTTTTGACACTCTTTTTGTGCTCACCCTACATTCCGGATTCATCACATGAGCGTCTTTTGGTTATGCTATGTATTGCTCATGTTAGGTCCTCTACATGGGAAGATATTCTGCTCACAGGCACTTTATAAAGCCAAATACTTTATTACCAAACTTCCAGTAACCTCACCTCAAACACTAATTTCTCTTTGGTTGATCATACAATTGCCTATTACATGTTTAATCACTATAATGCTTATTATCTTGAATTATAGTTTTACACAGCTCACTCCTAAGTATACACAAATTATATGCTTATTTACTTATTATAGAAAATGTAATTTAGAAAAATATACAAACTTTTAAAATAAAATTATAGCTATCTAATCCTGTCACCTTTCTTTAGTTTAAAATTTAAAAACGTTTCTATTGTTACCTTTTTATTTTTAGCAAAAAACATTGGCTATTCGTGTGTAGTTTTTCTTTCAGATTGACTTCAAAATAATATATTGCGTGTCACCTAATTACCCTCACCTCCACGGGACTACATTAAACCTGAAAATTTATTTGGGAAGGACTGACATCTTCATAAGATTTACATCTTAAAAAAACACTATTTTAAAAAATTTAATGATATAAAAATTTCGATTCTAGATATTAATTATACTCATGTCTCTCTTTTCCTCCCGTTTGCCCCATGTTCTCCCTCCCCTCCCCTCCCCCTTTTTCTTTGATGTTGTGAAGGAGATGCTTTCCCCGTATCTCCAAAACAGTTTATGATCAATGTGGAAAAGCTATCTGTTTTTGTTATATAAAGCATATATATTGCCACTTCCCCAACTACTATTGATTTTCAAAATCCTAATTGGTTTTCTAGAAAGTGTGGCATTGCCTGCTCCTACTGGCAGTTTCATCAGCGGCTTCTCTCGGCTGTTCTCCGTGGGCTGCTTGTCCTCTGCTTCCTTCAGCTTTTTTCCGGTTCCCGACTCTGTTCTTTTCCTCTGCTTACTTGAAGAAATCAAGGTTTTTTTCTTGTTAATTGAGTTCTCCACAAAGTTTTAATAATAAGAATTTTAATTCTGCTATTGTGTCTTGTCCTTTACATTTTATTATAAAAATTAAATCATGCAAGCAAGGTTTAAGGACTTTTACCATGAATTCCCATGAATATGCCACCTGAATTCTCCATCTCGTTTGTTTCCTCGTGGCCTTTCTCTTGTGTGCTTCATTGAATTTATATATTTTTACATCATATTGAGATTGCCAAACAGTTTTTGAGTATGTTTTTTTTCTGGTTCTTAAGGTAAATTATTTCCAAAAAGCATACTGTTTACTTGAGCTTTTAGGTGAATGTATTTATTCCCTTGTTTGATGACTTTTGCCATGAATTCCATATAGTTTGTTTCCTTTTACTTATGCTTGAACAAGGAGAGATCAGTGCTGACCAGATGTTTGTTAACTGGTTAGTCAAACTGCCTGGATCTCTTTATTATCTTGCATAATGAGTTAGAGCTTATAGCAGGTGGGTGGGCATTACTCCCAGTACAATTCCCAATTTCTAGCAGATATTTATGAATATGCTACATTGTGATACAAGTTTCTTTCATGCCCATGGCCTATTGTCTGGTCCTCTGGGCCGATGTAACATGGGCAAAATCCACAGCATTTGCTGCAACTGTGGAGCTTTCTTTCCCTCTCACATTTATTGCTCTGTCTGTGGGTCCTTAGACTCCAGGTCTCTATACAACCCCCACCAACTTCCCTAAACTTCTTGCCTTGCAGGTTGCTATTGATTGCAATCCGGTGGAAGTATAAAGATTTGGGGAGAGGGAGGCTGAATGAATTCTCTAGTCAGCACAAAATTGTAGAAGCCCTGGACCGGGGGATGGCTGCCTAGAATCTCACTTGAACACGTAACTGTTGGTCCAGCAAGAGGGCCATCAGCTCTAGAGAGGCAGCATGTCCTTTGTTAATTTCTCCAGGAAGGGGAGGTTGCCCTCCGCCGGAAAGCGACGCAGAACCAGGGCAAACACTGTTTTCTGCAATCTGGTCTATTATCTTTAAAAGTAATGGGAACAATTTTAGAATTCTGAATAGTGTTTATTGATCAAACTTGGCTTTTAGTGTCGTGAGTTTCCTTACTTTTTGTGTGTTTTACTGAGAAGTTGGAAAATACAGCATAAAAGTTGCTAACCCGATTTAATTTTGAGTGAGTTCCTGGTTAGCCACAGTTTCATGTTGCTTTCACATGACAGCTTTCTTCCTGAGTCCTGGATAGGGAACTACTTGATGCTAGATTCCAGCTCACTCTGCCGGACCTAGGAGAGCAAGTTCTGGGGAGAAAATCCCCTAACTGCCCCTCTCCGGGCGTGCGATGCCCAGTAGGGAGGACAGTCCTCACTGACAGCCCTTCCGACGGGGCTTGCATCAGAGGCCTCCTGGGCAGGGGCTAAAGGGACCCCTCAAAGCCAGCTTGGGTGATGTAATGAGGTGTTTCCCTTTCAGGTATCTTATTTGGCGTGATGTGCACCTCCATGGCTGTGGCTGCATCTCTCATGGGTAGCATTGTGCAGGTAATGAAAGAGGGAGAAGGCGCTTTTGATTTCACAGCAACGTTTTTTCCCTAACGTTTTGACTATTCTTCCAAGCCGCTCTCTGAGGCCAGGTCCAAAATAGACATCCACGTAAACTTTCACCAAAATCACTTTCAGGAGAAACTATATATAAAAAAAAGTAATAACGGGACTCAGTAGCAGGGTACACAGCTGTGCGTGGGCATGTGCTCACTTGCCTGCACGGCAGTGCCTGTGTATGTTCCAGAAGGACATGGAACAAGGCTATGGGTTGAAGCAAACTGGTTTAATGAAAACCCCTTGCAGTTCACCGGGCTTAATGGCTTAGAGGCTAAGAGGTGTGGAAATGCATTTGTCGAATCCCCTTAGTTTCCAAACGAGAGCCATAAAAGTGGGATATGGGATATGAATGTCCAGTGGCCTCCCGCCTGACCTCAACGCTTCAACACCCTTGTGTTCTGGATGAGATGTCAGCGGTGGGGTAACAGACAATTATTGTCAACATAATACAATTGCTCAAACAGCTGATCAACTATGTAAGATATGAAATATAAGTATAGATGGTACATTATATAAAAACTTTTTGATAAGATAGAAAATATAAACAAATCAATGAGTTCCAGCTTGAGGGAAAACTACTTCTACCAAATCAGTTACCTGTGTATACACACACACAGAAGTCTGTTTGTATGTATTTTTATTTTTTTGCACACTGTTCATCATTGATCCCAGAGGGAGAAGTGGTTTCCAGAAAGCACGATTAATGGCACAGTCAGGACTAGGACTGAATTTTATCCCAAGTCCAAGAAAGAGGTGGTCCCCGTGGGTCACGAAGCCATGATTCTGATCTGCTTTCTCCGCAGGCTTCCCTCAGCATCCACGGCATGTGTGGGGGGCCGATGCTGGGCTTGTTCATGCTGGGAATCGTGTTTCCTTTCGTGAACTGGAAGGTAAGGATCCCGCACCTCTTTCCTCTCTCAGCTCTCATTCCTCCATGGAAAGGCCATGTGTCCTTGCCAGGCAAAAAGCAGTGGCCTCTTTGCATAGAACTAAACAAAACCCGAGCCCTCCTCTCTCTGACTTCAGTGAAGCTGTTTCAGAAGCAGAAGGCAGAGAAAGGGGTGCTCCTGAGACACCAAATGTCATGGCATCAAGGCTGATTCTTTAGGGCTTCAATTGTCTTCCCTAAAGTAAGGGCCCACAGGATGAAATTGAAAATGGATGGTGAATTCAGAAGTAGGTTTGTTAAAACACAGTTTTTAAAACTTAAAAAAATATATGTAAATTTCTTTTATATTTTTACCTAAATTATAACTAATTTAGTTAATGAACTAATTTAAGGAGGGAAGAGGAGACATGCCCTGTGTACTCTGAGAGCTGGATCCTCTTGGTTTGCTGGCTGACAAACTAATAGTTTGTTTTTAAGTACATGTTGATTGGATGACTGTAGTAAGTATAAATCGAAATGAACATTATTTGGAAAAATAAAATAATATTTAAAAATTTAAAAAATACTTATATTTTAAATATCATAATGTTTTCAGCCTAGCATGTTGCTTTTTAAAATTATTTCAATTTATTCACTTATATGCATGAAGTTTTAGAAAGTCTTCGACTGCAGAAAACCTGACTCTGCATATTTTTAATATACTATGGGGTGCTCGAGAAAGCCTGAGGAAATGGTGTACCTAATGAGGTCCCTGCGGCTACCTGACCATTACTGGCCTCTATTCTCGATAAATCTTACAGGGCTAGGTAAAGAGAGCGGATAGACAGGGAACACTTAGGAATCCGCAGTGCTTCCCTGCAGTCCTATTAGAAGACATTTTGTTTTAATCAGCTCTTCTGATATTGAGGTTGACAAGGGTCATGTTGTCCTTGGAGAGGTAGTATGAGGGAAGGCAATTTCTTAGTCACAAAAGAACTAACAGCTAGCTACATGACATCTTAGTGTATTCTGAACATTAATTTATGTATGTGAGTGAATTACGGTCCTTCCATTTAGTCAGGGAAACCACCTCGTTCTGGATGAAAGATAGTAAGCATTGCAAATGTGTATCACCTCTCCCCTTGTCATCGGCCGTGGTGGCTGATCTTACTAATCAGTCCCGCTCTCCTTCCACAGAATGGGGGTGCAGCCTCATAATTCTCAGCAAGGCTCTCAAGGCTGCTCCTCTCAGTCAGCAGGGATTGAACCTATTGCGATCCACTCGCCTTGCACGGGTGGGCTAGCGGTCAGCACACCGCCCCTTTCCCACCAAAGCCAGCCATCTTCCCGTTTCTGGTATGGCCTGCAAGCTAAAACCGATCTGATGTTCTTAAAAGTTGTTGGAGGGAAATCAGAATAATAAATAATGTCTCATGACACATGAATAGTATATAAATTCACGTTTCAGTGCCCATACACTTTACTGGGACACAGCTACTCTCCTTTGTTTATTGTCTATGGCTGTTTTTGTGCTGCGATGGCAGAACTGAGTAGCTGTGACAGCCCCGCAGGGCTACGAAGCCTAAAGTGTTTATTAGCTGGCTGTTTATAATAGCAGTTTGCAGACCTCTAGTTTACATCAAGGTACAACTATTCAAATTATACGCATTGCTTTAGTTTTCTCAAATAACAATGAACAGAGCATGCCGGTGCTGTTATTGGAGAGTCTTTATGGTGATAGAGAAACCAACGGGTTGCTTTCTCTCGCAGAGAAGGCTCAGCTATCCAGGAGACACCAGGAGCATCCAGGTTTTATTTTTCAGTGGTGCTGGTCTTAGCTAGACTGGCTGCCTCCTTTACAGGGAAAGTGACTTTTCACTGTTTATCAGGAGATATAACCCTTAAGGAAAAGACTAGTAAATACATATGCTAGAATTTAGACTCAACACTCCGCACCTGGGAGTCAGAGACTCTGCCAGGATCGCTCAGAAAAGCATAGAGCGTCTGTATCCTAGCTTATCATAACCATCAATGAAAAGTGACTACGCTGTCCCCATTATCCGAGGTTTTCCAAAACATCTGAAACTCGGCTGCTGGGAACTGAGGTTTCAACAGCTTTCTAAGGGATAAGCGGGAGGAAGAAGCCAAATGGAGAGAAAAAAATTCCTGCTAGGAATCTAAATATGGTGATCACCGTAAAACTATCCCATGTTTCCATTTAAGGAACAAGTTATTTCTAAGGAAAGCAGCGTTGTGAGAGTCGGAAGGAAGGCAGTTTGAGTGCACTGTTTCCAGAATAGTGGCTAAAATTTGGGGTGGAAAGCCAGAATCTCCAAGGCACAGTACTCACCTCAATATGCTTTCAATGGCTTTGTCCAATCTCTCATTAACTCTTCCTTTCCTTCATCAAGGGTGCACTAGGAGGCCTTTTGACGGGAATCATCTTGGCATTTTGGGTGGCCATCGGGGGCTTCATTTATCCTGCACCAGCCTCCAAGACATGGCCCTTGCCTTTATCGACCAACCAGTGTGTCCCATTAAACGTGACGGAGTTAGTGCCCCCGGTGCTGTCCAGCAGGTATGGTGACTCCAAAGATGGTGGTAAGTCCCAGAGAGTGGGTCCCCAAGATAGAGGAAAGTGCGCTCTTCAGCGATCTGTCTGAAAAGACCGATGCTGCTTTCCTGGGAGACTCCCTCTGGGCGGCACCCAGCGTTGCCGGGTGCCCTGCAGGGCTCCTGCTTTCTGGGGACATCCGCTCCTCTGCAAGCCAGTGGGGGAGTAAACGCGGCAGAAAGGTTAGCTGGAGGTATGAGTGCAAAACAGAAAAAATAGTGAAAAGTGTGAAAACAGGATATGAAGATCATAGTGTTTTTAACAGATAAAGGCTCTGAGTAGAATAGGTTTGTGAGCAGTGTGGAGAGTGACTGTGGACACACTGAGGCAGGAGCACTGCTGTGAACTCAGTTTCTATCTCATCTGGACAGGGCTTAGCAAGGGTTTCCCTGTCTGTTTCTGGCTGGGCTAAGTAATTTAAGATAGCAAAATACAGGAGGTAATGCGGTACAGGGGGAAGACCATCAACTGAGATCAGAAATACCTGGGTTTGGATTTTGGTTTTATGATTTATCCATGCTACATCTTTGCACAAGTTAGTACCTTGTCACTTTTTGATTTCTCACAGTCCTTGGGGAAGGTAATAATTCTTTACTGAGGCTTTGAGAGGCATTAAATTATATTATTTATATCTCTATATTAAATTTTATCTATATATCTATATATTAAATTCTAACTATCTACCCATCCATCATCTATCTCTCTATATAAAGAGCCAGAGCCAGAGAGAGAAATGAGGGAGAGGGGGAGAGAGAGGGCGAGCCAGGTGCGCTATACCTGACGTGAGTGTGCATTTTCACATATAACTGCTCCTGAGTAGGTGGCCCTTCCTATATAATGTATGAGCGCTCCATTATCTTGCTTTGATTTGCCTTGAGTTTCATCTAATTTAGAGTCATTCCTCTCCAAAATCTTATGGACAAACAACATCAACCTGTTTATAGTCCCCGGGTCTATCATGCTGTTTCCCCCTTCTTGCTTTTGCTTATAGTACCCTTTTCTTTGCTTGGTTCACTCCTAACCATTGTTTTAAAATAAACTACGGTGTCATTTCACACATCAGCTTGGGTCTGATACCCTCGCCAATACCCCAGAATCCTCTGTTTCTGTGACACCGAGGTAGTGCCAGTCCGTTCTGTCAGCTCCTACATGCAGACTTTGTGGCCTGCTCATCTTTTACTCTTCAATGCATTGCCACAATTTCTGGCACTAAATCTGGGCTTAATAAACGTCTGAAGAATAAATAATGCAAAAGAAATGGAAGGCACGGTTCTCACTGCAATCATGATTCAGTAGCAATGTTTGTAATTCGGGAATGGATGGGACAGAGTGGCATACAAGACACAGTCTACCTTTGAGTCTTCAAAAACTAATCAAATGGCGAAAGTTACGCTTCAGGATTTTGAGCGATGCCAGGCCTTAAAGGGAACCCTCGGCAGGTCTCTAAATCCCTGTGAATGGTGACACCAGAACCCACAGAACTGGCGACGTGTGCTATCCTCCACAGACCTCCGATCACCGACAGCTGGTACTCCATCTCCTACCTCTACTACAGTGCGGTGGGCTGCCTGGGATGCGTTGCCGCCGGGATAGTCATCAGCTTCATCACAGGTTGGCTACATGGACCTTCTCTTTGGGGCCAAGGAAGACAGGGCTAGTTTCATGCATTGGTGGACGAGGTGCCTATCTTACTGGGGTGATTTGGGTCTACCACAAAAATCCCCTCTTCCCAGAGAGATGTATCTACTCTCCAAACTGACATGCAAAAACACCCCTCGTTATCTATATTATTCATATATATATCTAATGCATATGAGCAATACATGATTAATATATATAACATATATGATTAATAATCCATAACATGTTTTTAAATATCTCCCATATATTATGGGGGTGGGGGATGTTTAGACAATGGCCTCCAGAGGCCTGAGTATGAAAAACCCTTCACAATATAACAATTAGTAAGGAAGGTTAAGTATTAGGAGTGATTCTTTTTCCCTTCATCCCAGTAGGAGGCGGGGATTTTGTGCATGACCTCCTTACTAACTCCCTTGTAGACATTTAAAAACTAACTCCCACCCCTCCGAGAGGTTACTAATTTCTGTCTATTAACCCTTCAGGACTGTTTCTACCCTTATTCTAAGAAGCGACTGACTTCTCAAGTTGACGATGCCTCAGTCCTCAAAGGAAGTCCTGGGAGTGTGTGACCCCCTAACCCACCTGCTCTTTCATTAACAGGTCACCAAAGTGGCAAGGAGATCCAGCCGATGCTAATTAGACCAGTGTGCAATCTGTTTTGCTTTTGGTCTAAGAAATATAAAACCCTGTGCTGGTGTGGAGTTCAGCACGACCGTGGGACGGAGCAGGTGAGCTGATGCCCGAGCTTCTCAGAAGCAGGCACTGGCTCGGGGGGTTCCCCTTCGCCCATGAAGCCATCTGTAAGGGTGGGCGTGGGGAGGGAAGGAGTGAATATTAGAACTGAAAGAATCCGGGTTGCAACTCCAGTTATCTCAGCTAATTAGCTTTTAAGCAAGTCATTATGTGGTAGCTAAACGTGCCTTTGGGCTAAGTTGTCTTTGCAAGTGATCAATTTCCAAAGTTCCTTTTAACCCCTCTGAGGGTGAATTCTAGAAAAAATAGGAACAGAAGCAGCAGGAAACCCGCCCCCCCTCCATAACCAGGAGAACTGCTCTGGCCGGGCGGGGCTGGGGACCTGTCCAGGAGCAAGTGGGGTCACTTCATCCAACGACCAGGCTGTGGGCAGGCCACATGGGCTCACTGCCCCGATGCAGCAGGGGCGGGGCACTGCGGGAACCGGGGACTGCCCCCCTCAGAGAGGATGGGCATGCATTGGGGCGCGTTCCCGCCGAAGCCTTCTGGGGGTGGGAGGGAAGCGGGTGGAAGCGGGCCGCTCCGTCCATCAGTGCGGGAAGGGCGCCGCGGGCTCAGCGCCGTCGGGTGCTCGGAGGCCGCAGGGCCTGGGGCGGCAGTGCTTCCTGTTGTCTGCAGCTGGCCTGTGTCTGTCTGTCCTCTCGGCTTGGCTGATGGCAGGCGTGTTTTGTTTTTTTGTTCTTTCTTTTTTTCTGTTTTAGATGGGACTTGCTATTCTTTCAGTACTCTAGGACAGGGACTTCTCGTCCTGAGTACGTTCTAGAAGAACCAAGTTCCTTACTAGTTGACATGTTGGGCTTCCTGGGCGGGAACTTCCCGAAGTAAAGGATGCACCCTGCCTGCGGCTGCGGCTGCGGCTGCGGGCAGCCCCTGCCCTCAGGGCTGAGCCGGGAGGGAGCGTGGAGGGGTCCCCGCGGGGCTCCGACTCACTGAGCAAGCCTCCACACAATAGGCGGCGCGCTGTGCATGCCCACTGGGCTGCTCTCCGGTCTTATCACATTAGAAATGGTACCTGCACGGACTGAGGCACCCGGGTTACCAACTGGAAATATTTGTGTGTCGTTTCTTCGTCCCGGGGTTGGTTTCGGATTGCGTCACGGCCCTCTCTCTAACACGTGTCTTTCCATTTCCTCAGGAAAACCTTGAGAACGGCGGCGCCTGGAAGCAGGGGACCGAACCCGTCCTACAGAACGGGCTCAGGAGAGGAAGCCGGGCCCACGTTTCAGGCTGCGATCCCAAGGACAAAGGCCACGACAACATGGCATTTGAGAGGATCACGCGTTTCTAAGGCAGCACGCGTGCACACGCACAGGCACACACACACGCACACACACACAGAGAGGCCACATACTTCTTGCCAATTGGTCAGTAGGCTTGTGTAGTTGCCGTTGTTAGAAGACAAGTGTCTAATGTCTATTTCTACTTATTTATAACTAGAAATAAAATGACTGCTCCCCAGGATATTCTTTGGAAGACCCAAACTTTCAGGTGAGAAAAAACAGCCGAGCCGTAAGTGCCCTGGCGACTTCCTTCTTGAATAAATTCCGACTGGGTTTCATCATAGTACGAGGAGCCAGTCTCTTTGCCTTGTGTCGTATTAAACTTCCTTTTACTGGTAGTTTCTTTCACCAGCAAATATCTTGGAGTTTACAGGCAGGAGGAGGCAGGGGATAAGCATGTTAAACGCTTCTCTGTCTCTGCTGATAAAACAAGGACGCGGCGCCCCCCCCCCACACCTCACACACATGCACACATTGCACATCCCGCATCGCGGCTCCAGGCGGCACACACGGCTGCTGCTCTCCCACCCCGGGCCCTCTGCCAGTCACCCCTGCCACCGCAGCTGTCCTGTCCAAGCCCTAAACAGAACTGCTCGGCACGGCAGGGAGGCCGGGCGCCCGGTTAGTGACAGCAATTATACCTAAATGGCTGTTCAGTGTAGTATTTCCTTTTTTCTTCAACCTTACAATGAAAAATTGCCTGTGCTCAACAAGAAGCTGGGTAAAGAAGAAAGGAATGTCCTGGAGGAGGCTGCCAGGACGGCACTGTACAAAAAGACCTTGCAAACAGTTTACCGGCCCGCAGGGGGTTTCACGAGCCACAGGTTATTTCTTTGATGCAAAATCCCTTGTCCACAGGATTTACGTTCCGCTCTTTCCGCTCACACATGCGAGCTGTGCTCCGCCAGGCGAAAGCAGTAGAAGATTTTAAAAGCCGAACTCTAATAAATGATTTTTAAAGTTCTGGAGTAAGAGGGGACTACAAATCAAAAGATGAGCTAACACACGTGGCGATACAGTGAGAGCTTTTTAGAAGCAGGAAAATCCTTAAAAGGTGAAAAAAGAACCAGTGTCACAGGGGTTAGGCCAGAGGAAAGACAGCAGGAAACAAATCTGTGTGAGGTGAGGGCAGGTGCCGGGAATTTATTTTGGTGGCCAGGTGAGCACAAGAGGCTTAGAAACAGTATGTCAGCAAAGTAAGAAAAAATGGCCCAAATGGGCAATGATGAGACTCCCAAAGGCTTCGTGGCCTACATGTCTCCTAGGAGAGCCCCGGCCGGTGGCTCCGTGGTTAGAGCGCAGGCCCGCGGACGGAAGGGCCCCGGGTTCGATTCCGGCCAAGGGCACGCATCTCGGTTGCCCCGGTCAGGGTGCGCGGGAGGCAATCGATGTTTCTCTCTCCCTCCCGCTCTCTCTGAAAAGCGATGGAAAAATATCCTCTGGTGAGAAAAAAAATTATAAAAATAAATGTTACCTAGGAGAGGAAAACCTTAAAAGCAGCATGAGATAGAGGAAATTATGTAACCAGTGTTTAGAAGACAGACAAGGGAAAAAATCGAGAGGAATTCAAAACAGCTGGCGTTCCTGAGCCCGGCCCTGCTTGCCTGCTCTGCCTCCACTCCCGCGGCAGAGAGAGAGCCGGCGTGGCTCCTGACATGAGAAGCCGCATTTGGGAAGGGCGGCGGGGAGAAACGGGCGTGTGCGGGAAAACCCCGGCACTGAGGAGCAGAATTCCTAGAAGCATTCTGAGGTCCAGCAGGCTAACGACGGTGTTGATCTAAACACTTGCAAACTGAGAGTTGCAATTCTTTTCCAAAAGACTTCGTAGCTAGAACGTTCCTATGAATTCTAACTTAAAAAGACGGAACCTGCTTATAGGGTCGCGAGGAGAATTGAGAGGCAAATCACAGAGTAGCGAGGGCGGTGACGGCCCGCAGGGCGCGCTCCTTCCGTGCCTGTTACTCTGCAGGATGCGGAGGAGGAAGGAAAACGGTGCCCGTTACTGTGCTCACTGTTTCTCTTTGGGGTTTATTTAAGACACTGGTTTAGTTCCTGTATTACTGAAGTAGTTTGAGAATTAGAAACAACAAGGGAAACATACGGTATAAATTAAAGTAACACCATCAATTTCCAAACAGTAGCCTTGTTAATGCCAAATTTAAATATGATTTTCCAGAGTCCTAAATTCTTTAAAAAAAGAAAAAAAATACTGTTATAAAGATAGACAAGTTTGTTACTGAAAAATGCAATATTCATGGCCAGGGGTTGTTAAGTATTACATTTTAAATGTGAACCTTCATAAGGAGACAGCATCTTAAACCAAGCTTATGATGCTGCACAGTGTGATTCTCTAAACTGTAGTGGAAGGGGCAGGTCTTTCCCCTTTGTTCAATTTAAATAATACTTCTTGAATATAAATTTTATTATTTTGCAACTTTATGGGGTTAGGTCATTCCATTATAAAGAGAGAGAGAAAAAAGACAGGCAAAGGAGCTAGCAAAATGGTATTTCAAAGAGAATATTACTAAAATATTTTATGGTTTTACAATCTTAATCAAACAGTGTTACAAAGACCAGATTGATAAATAGAAAAATTAGAGGAGTCTACCTTTGTTATCTTAGAAATCAATTGTTTTAAAACATTACAGAAATTTTAGCTTTCATATACATTTGTATACTCAGAAAGCACACGTGCTCCATCTCAACATTGCAAGGTAGTCGGGTTCACTGTAGTGTTAGCCTCTTTTGTCCGGCAGTACTAACCTTGAAGTGTAATCTATTTCCAAACAACTTAATTTGTAATTGAAATTACCAATGACAGATATTAAAGTGATAGGAAATTTCAAATTAATCAAGTGTAACCCATAATTGATAGAAAATCTCCTAATGGCTTTCATTATTTTAATTCTTGGAAAGCATCAAGGCCATTGTTCTCTCCACCACTCCAACCTCCCGACCAAATCTAGGTCTGCAAACACCTGTGTGAACAGCAAACCTAAGCCCGCTGTTCTACTTCACTTGCTGTGTTTGAAACATCAGCTGTCTTCAGAAGACATAGTCAAGCTTATAAACATTTGGCTACTTAATCATAACACGGTCCTTACTGGGGTGACAGTGAGTGTATCAGTGATTTTCTCATTGGACTCTTAGGACAAATTAGAAAAACAATCCTGCCCTATGGCAGAAAATATTGATAATGATATTTCTGGATATTAAGAGGAAATAAGATATTTTTATATTTCCAAAATTTTATGTAGCTTTTTCATAGAGCACTGGAATACTTCTAAATTTAATGCTATATTTATACAAGTAGTCAATTTTAGGAAAATTACCTGTAGAATGAGCATACATATATAATTAAGGTACAACATTATTTAAATGATTTCTTTTAAAAGTAAATTCAGATTGAAATGCAAATGATCAATGTGAATATTCTCTATAGCAGGGATGGGGAACCTTTTCTCTGACAAGGGCCACTTGGATGTTTATACCATCATTCGGGGGCCATACAAAATTATCAACTTAAAAATTAGGCTGCTATATTTGGTCAAATATTTCACTAGCTCACCCCTAATGAGCTGGCTGGAATTGCCTCTCTTTGGTGAGGCCTTGGCAGGGCCGGACCAAATGATTTCAACGGGAGTATATGGTCAGCGCGCCGGACATTCCCTACCCTTGATCTACAGGATTGGAAGTAGGATGCAAAATAGTTATCTACCCTAAAATATTTTATATTAACTTAACAGATTAAGGCAGGTCTACCAAGTGGCCAAGGAAACATGTCAAAATGAGGTTTGACGCATTTTATAACTTTTTTAGTGTTTTGAATAGTGCCGGCAATATGGGGGCTACCCAGGGTTTAGGACAAGTGTGTGCGCACACACACAGGCATGAAACAGAAGTTACCATCAAGAGAACTTTATGACTTAAGTTACCTTGACCTTTTGGTTCTCAGGAATTTCCAGAACAGCAAGCTGTATGTTTTTTGTTTTGTTTTGTTTTAATGTTAAAGCAAATGTGTACATAGCTGTTCAGAACATTCAGTTAATTCTCAATTACAGAATCTGCTTTGACATGTTAAAAAGCTAAGAATACGCACAGTGTATTGATTTAATGTCCTAATGTAACTGCCATGTAAAAAAATACATGAGCAATTTCTAAACTGCTTACTTGTAACACTAAAATATAGTCAGGCAGAACGTGTAGAGAACTGAGCAATCAGGCGGTGGTACTGACTAAGCTGGAATCAGAATTATTGAGGTTTATGTACCCTTACTGTTTACTATTTTCAAGAACGCTGACCTGAAGACACAAGCTTAAAAACTGATTCAGTTTATTTCAACAGAGCAAAGATTCCTTAAATTGGCTTTCAAATTTCGTATGAGAGTTTGGAAGGAATGTTTAATGATTAACAATATATACCTGTATCTATATATCAATATCTATATATCTATCTATAGATACATAGAAAGAAAAAAAAACCAATATTTATAACCATCTGACTAATATATGGCTGCAACATAATTTCTCCTTTTGAGAATAAAAATGGCTCCATCCACTACCTCCTCTGGCCTTCCCCATGTCCCCTCTTCAAATACAGGACTCTAACATCTCTTCTACTTGGAAAGTACAGTGTAGCGGCCAACAGCCACACATACTAGAAAGAAAACATTGCTTATATTTTTAAGTGCATTTTCATCTTTAATATTAAAAATGGACACATTCTTTAGCTGGAGTTTTTACTAAAATCTAAGCTTACTATATTTGGCTTGGCAAATCTTAAAATAGACAATGAATGAAGAAAAAAACTATTTCTTTTGAATGTTAAATGATAAAAATTGCCCCAAATTGACAGACTAATCAATTCAAACAGATCAGTCAAGTAACTCATCAGGCAACCTGATGCTTCAAGTTTGAACACTAAAGAAAACAACGATCAGTTTGTTAGCCTGTTGTTGACAGCTGGCTATGATGCCCTCAGATGCCTTCCTTCCTCCTTACGAACTATATCTGTGCTAAAATTCCTGTCCTAGAGAGATTCTGATGATAATCAGCAGAGCCAGCACAAGTGTGAAAAAGCAGCATTATCACCCTTTTAAGAACAAAGCAAGCTTCCTCTCCCATCTGCTTTTAAGCACAAAGCATTACTGAGATCGATATGATGCTCCACTGCACTTCATGTGCAAATGCTTTGATGATGACACTGAATTTATCAGAAGACAAAGAGTTGAAAGTTTTAAGAGTGGAATAAAGGGCTTGCAATAACAGGAAGCTACTGCCTTGCAGAGCTAAAGAATGAGCAATCCCCTCTCCCCAAGCACACTCAACAAATCCCAACCTCATATTTAAAAAATCAAGCAGGATTAAACTGAACATGCAAATTATAGGAAAAAATATCACATGATAATTTATTGAGTGAGAAAGGCTCCTTTTCATTCCATTCTACAACAGAGTGTTCTAAGAGTCGGGTTGGAAGAATGTGCAGCACTTGGCAGTTGTGCCTCATGCAGTCACTCAGCAGGGTTTTGTCTAAAAGTGCATGCACGGACTCAGACAGTTACAAACGATTTCTGTTACAGTCTCAAGCCATTTTCCACACACTACACTGTGAAAGCACTTCAGCTTTGAACAACTTGTCAGGGTTGATTACATGCACATATGTAACAATTTGCTGGAAAAGACAACAAGTTAGAATATGAAAATATATCAGCAGCATTCATGTAATACAGAATTCCTGAGAAGAGTGTGTGTATATAAATCTTTGAGAAATAATTTGTATTCATATGAAAACCATGATATAAAACATTCCTCTCAACTAAAGCAGAGTGATCTTATACTAACATACTGGAAAGGGCTGTCAATATCTGTTGTCAATCATGATGAAGGCATAGCTAGATTCTAACTGTGTTGTTTCACAGAAAGAAAATTTCAGATACTTTTTCATTGTTTCTCCAATTTTCCACCATTTTAAGAAATATCAGAGATGGGCCTGGCCAGTGTTGCCCAGTGGTTGAGCTTTGACCCATGAACCAAGAGGCCACTGTTTGTTTGTTTGTTTTTTAAATATATCTTTATTGATTTCAGAGAGAGGAAAGGAGAGGGATAGAGAGAGAGAAACATCAATGATGAGAGAGTCATTGATCGAGCCCGCAACCTGGGCATGTGCCCTGACCAGGAATTGAACCCCGATCGCCTGGATCCTAGGTCGACGCTCAACCGCTGAGCCACGCCCGGCCGGGCAAGAGGCCACTGTTATGATTCCTGGTCAGGGCACATGCCTGGGTCGTAGGTTCAATCCCCAGTATGGGGCGTGTGGGAGGCAGTCGATAGATGTTTCTATCTCTCTAGCCCTCTCCCTTCCTCTCTCTCTAAAATCAATAAAAAAACATTTCAAAAAATCAAAGAAGGCATTTTCTAAATCAATGTACTATAGTTTATCAAATATATCTTTTTACTTTCATATTTCTCTCTCTAGGCAATCTCTGATTTTAAATCTTTATGGTGGATTTATAAAAATAACTCAGAAAGAGAAGAATTCTCAAGGGCACTGCTATCATTATTCTTTCCTCTACCGGAAGACAAATGTCTTGTGTCCCTAATTTGGAAAAGATACAAATGTCAGGCTATGAACACGACTCACATTTATGTCTTCAATAGGCAAGGAAAGTATTTATTCATAGGCATGTTCACACATTTAACTAAGAAAGAAGAGGAAATACAGGTGTTATGAAAATGAAGTAGTTTAAAACTCCTTTGTGTAGTTAGTGAAGTTAGTTGCTATGATAACCAGGCAGCAGAAACAGAACCTCTGTGGAATCTGAATCGAAGAGACCCAGTTGCAAGGGCATGTGAAGGACATTTGGAATCTGGGGTCATTCCTCTTGCTCCAAATCAGAAGACAAGGAAGGAAGTGAATGTTTTTGTCAAAACCAACCAACCAACCAACCAACCAACCAACCAACCAACCAGCAACTATTATCTATAAGCTTTTCCTTAGAAGGAAAGAAGGAAATGTCAAAACATTTTCAGTGTGAGAATTATAAAAGTAGTTTTCTAGTAAGAGAACTTTGTAATTTTCTTACTAGAGAAAACCTAGCATATATACGATGGAGCTTTATTTCCATTGTGTTTAATTTGGTCTTTATGAATTTTGGAAATACCTGTGCTTTGTTTAATTGGACAAAAATTAATTGGGCATATAATAATCAAAACTGTGTATAAAAGTGTGAGTATATGTTATTCCAGGGAAGGAAAACTGAGATTAGCTTTGACTGTTTTGCAAGAAGTGTCTTGAATTCTACTCCACATTTCTTTGATTCAACTCTTTCTTCCCTTTCTGCCCCCATAGCTTATGCCTTCACCAGCCGTTCTGCAGTTCAACATCCCATCCTTCCCACCCCAGCCATCTGTGAGCAGTCACACTCACAGATACAGAGTTGACACACAAACAGCAACTCCACAACAAAGCAGATCTTTCACAATTCATTTGCCTGTTTCTAGTTTTCAAAAATAAACCAAATCAATCTACCAAAGAAATAACAGAAAACTCCCTTCAGTAATGAAAAAAAGTAAAACTTGAAAATATGTGTGTCATTTTTACAAATAATATAAATTGATATTCATGCACTGTTCATTAGCTCATGAGCAAGAGTGCACATTGTGGGAAAAGCGTAAGAGTTGCAAAGCATCTGGCTTCTGTGTTCCTGAATAAACATGTCACAATGGTGTACGGTGTCACTGGTCTCAGAGTTGCATAAACTGTAACTTGCATTACATATTGTCAAGGTGCAAAGGTACAAGGAAAACCAAAATATTTACAGCTTTTCTAATGATTCTGTAAGAGGTGATGCAATAAATCAACAAAGGAAAAATTAAGTACACGATAAGACAACTTTCCATGGTTAAATATGAATCAGTAGTGTTCTAAAAGATATGAGAATAAACACATTTTATAAGTATGCGGCTCTAACTGGCATTTTATAAAAAAAAATCCAGTGCAACTGGTTCTGCCAGTGATATAACAAATTTGAATAGAATACAATAGAATGTTATTTCAATGAATGGTATTCTTTTTAGAATCTCAAGTTTTTGCTTTAACAACTAAAGCTGATGTGCAACTCTTCAACTGCATAGTCAATGTAGAGCAGCATAAATCCCATGGCACAGATCCATAACCTCAGCAAGTATCAAGGGACGTTCTTATGAACCTGTAAGCTGAAGGGACATGGATTTCTCACAGCAAAGGCAATAACTGACTTCAGTCATTCCTTATGAGTATCTCAACTCAACCTAAGGTTCCAAAGTCAGATTAGTATGTGAGTAAAAACCACACAATACTTTAAGTCATGCCTGGATTGTGAACATAGAAATCTGTCTTTAGAAACCTCACTATCACCTTCCTATTATGCTACAGCTGGTGGAAGATGGAGGTCTCCAAACACACAACTCCTTAAGGCTTCCTCTGAGAATTAGATTCTGGCTTCCTGCAATGTCAACCTAATATTTTTTAACATCATGAGTCATCTTTTTCTTTTCCCTGGAAGCTTGGATGTTCTAAATCCAAGAGATGGCTGTGATACTTTTCCAAGTAGAATATTATACATACAGTTTGCCTAGATCCCACCTAGACTTTGAAGGTGCTATCATTCCCATTAACAGTATTGCCCCAACTGGGCAACAGGTATCTACTAAGGCCATTCATGGTGAACAGGATGACCACTTTTTCTCCGTTGTTGTTGCAAATGCTCTAGCTCAGCCTCATACATCATTTCTTGGACTAAGTACTTCTCCCGTCGTATTCGGTCATAAAGGTTCTTTGGTACATCTGGAATCAGGTATGCGATGAATGACTTGATCCCAAAGACAAGGTGCTGCAAATTTAAGAAGGGAAAGTACACTTTTAGAAGGTTTTGAAATGCCAGTTATAAACCGATCATGAACAATGTTGCATTTGCCTTACAAACAAGCATCAGAACTCAGTGTGTATCATCTAGAATATTAATATTTTCAAAAATTATATTTGGGAATACTATCGTTGCCTTATATCACATAAGTATTAGGAGGAAACTAAGAATTGTCATACGCTGATGAGAAAGATGACAGCCAGGGAAAACCCATGTCTGATGGATGGTAATCACACAGCCTACAGACTAGATAGGATACAGTCTGCTTGTGATGCTGGGATTAGACTCAACGTCCAGCAGGAGCATTTTTCAGAACTTCTGCTCTACTAAGCTCTGTATCATAACCATGTTGAAATTTTTATGTCTGGCCCTAACCGGTCTGGCTCAGTGGACAGAGCGTCATCCCGTGGACTGAAGGGTCCCAGGTTTGATTTGGCCATGGGCACGTACCTCGGTTGCAGGCCTGACCCCCTGCCCTGGCCGTGGTGAGTGTGGGAGGCAACCGACCTATGGGTCTTTCTCACATGGATGTTTCTCTCTCTCTCTCTCCCTTCCGCTCTCTTGGACACAATGGAAAAAATATCACCGGGTGAGGATTTAAAAAAAAAATTTTTTTTAAGTTTTATGTCTGTTACACAATTATTCTATTTTAAAAAAGAGACCGACAACCCAGCCAGCGTGGCTCAGCGGTTGAGCACTGACCTAGGATCCAGAAGATTGTGGTTCGATTCTTGGTCAGGGCACATGCCCGGGCTGTGGGCTCGATCCCCAGTGGGGGGCTGCAGGAGGCAGCCGATCAATGACTCTCTCATCATTGATGTTTCTCTCTCTCTTTCCCTCTCCCTTCCTCTCTCTCTAAAATCAATTAAAAAAAAAA